GTGAACAGAATCTCCTTTTCCTCTGCCTCTGCCTATGAAGTGGAACTTCTTATGGGGATTTAGAAAAAATGTAGGAACTGAGCATAGATGAAGAAAAGCTGACTCGAAACCATGGTAAACCACCAAAGTAGCCAATGCTACTGCGAGGTTTGGATGCCAGAACATTGTCAAAGTGAACTCCAGCACACCTACAGCTCAGAAGAGAACAGGCTGCTGCCTATCTGAGATTTGTAGCATGTGTTGTGTCCTATGTGAATCATTAAAATCTTGCCATGAACGTGGACACCAATGGAAGAAAATCAGTCATAATCTCTGTATTAGTCTCTGTAGAAACCCTCTATGAGATTTATTTTCAGATTTTCATTACAGAAAAAATGTTTCTTTCCTTAAGGAGCAGTGCTTCCTTATTTCTGATGGTTGACTGTGTTTCCCTTTTTGCTTTCTGGTTACCAGAAAGCTCATAACTGAACGCGATGCTTCATTTATACTTATTAGCCTCTTCTGTGTTCTCCCTGGTATGTGGTAATAGACTTATTTTGACATTGCTTTTAGTATATATGTTTATGTAATCTATTTCAAATCCTTTGTGGGAAGAGGAGGGTATAAGGTAACAAATATTTCTCTAAGCCTTACATCCTGTATCAACCAGAAATGCTATTTATCATGTAAAGTCTCTCTTGGATTCTCTGGTGATTAAGCCCCTTACATTTTAGAAGACATTTCATAAAAGCTAGCTAAATATCATTGCTACAATTTCATTATTGAGGATCCTGTTCTATTTTGCTTCATTTTCACTTCTGCCTGTTCCATTATAATGAGAGAAGAATTGTCTTTAACAGCTCTGAATGACATCACCAAGTATTAGAATTCAGTTAATCTCTATGCAAACCAAACTCAGCATAGATATTGAAGATCTTCAAGATAAGGCCTCCTGATGAGTAACTAGGAATCATTTTTACCCAGAAAAGCAAGTCAGCAGTGTAGACATTTATGATCTGAAGCCATCTCTTGGATGTTAAGTTAAATACATATGTATAGATCTCTATAAACCTGGAAAAGTTTTAAGGGCTGCTGAATAGGTTCAGATGTCACTATTGTTTACTTCATTCCCATGATCATAACAATATAAGAACACTGGGACCAGCAGATAGCATAATGGCTACTTTGCTGGACTCCCATGTACTCAACCACAGTTTGAGTCTTGGACTCTGTGGCTTAAAACTCACGCCAGGTGTGTGTACATGCATGCCAAAAATCCTGAGAGAAGAATGAAGGAGCAGGGATTGAGGCATGGGCATCCCTCCTGCGGGGTGATTTCTCACTTTTTGTCTCTCTGTCTCTTGGGCAAGTACACATGCTGTATAGTAAAAAGCAGTTAGCGTAATGGCTATGTCGCTGGATTCCCACGTAGTCGACCGCGGTTCGTGTCCCGGACCCGGTGGCTTAAAACTCACGCCGGGCGCGTGTGCGTGCGTGCCCAAGATCCCGAGAGGAGAATGGAGGAGAAGGGATTGCGGCGTGACCATCCCCCCTGGGGGGTGATTTCTCGCTTTCTGTCTCTATGTCTCTCTCTGTCTGTCTGGCGAGCGCACGCGCCCTACAGTGAGAATCTCTCAAAAAAAAAAAATATATATATATGGTATAAAAGAGAAAATCCACTTTGGCCCTCTCTAAATACATTCTACTCCAGAGCTCAGTAGAAGTTTCCCTACTTAATTTCCTCCTGAGCCAAAAAAGAATTCTAATTCTTTCCTGAGCAAGCACCGTTATAAAGCTATCATATTTATTTACATTTTGAAAGAAAAGAAGACCAAGGAATATCTTAAGAGTTAAAAACGTAGACACAGGGACTGGCAGGTGGTGTCATGGTTGAGATGCTAGACTCTCTCATGGCCGACTACAGGTCAAGTTCTGGACCTGGCAGCCTCCGAATCACAACAAAAATGTAAATAAATGTTAAAAAAAAATAGGCACAGCTCTGCTCTAACAAACTGACATGCTCACAATATTCTGCAACAATTTCACTAGGTAAGTTTTTGATGACAGAGTCACATGTCTTTATTTTATGAAACTATTAAACAAGGAAAGAAGAGACCTTAACTTTTATAGACTTATCACTGTCTAGAATTTGATGAAATAACCACTTCGCCAAAGTTGCAGAGCACAAGCACAGCATCTGGTTTGCTCTTTATTAAGAGTACGTACATGAGTGCATATTTGAGTATTTGCAAATGCTTAGTTGAAGAACTTAGAGTATGTTTATTTTGTATGTCACTCTTGAGCATCACTCTTGAAACCCCACAACTGAAAACCGGCATTGAAGAAACTTGGAAAAGGGTTAAATCTCAGTTTTGCCTATTAGAATTTACACTCTTAATGAGTTGGAAGCTTTCTTCCAAAGTTTTAGCAGTCTTTTACGCCTTAGTATTGGGCATTTAAAATATACCATGCTCTTTTCAGATTACTTTCATGGTAAAACAAAATTATTCTCAAACTTTATTTTTAAACTCTAATATTGGTATTTGCAAAAAAATCACTTTCTACTGATTTATCGTTCATCATTTTGGTTCTATAATACTGCCAAATGAAGGACCTCTGTTACATATCTCATAATCTATGTTTTATTAGGGGGAGGACTTCAAAATTTTCACAGAAAAGTGTATCATAAAAACAACTACTCACGGATTTCAAATTTTGCTTATATAAGAATAAACTCATTTAAATTCTATTTTTCTACAAAGTTTTTGAAGTCCCTTCATATTTGACAAATTTTGGCAACACTGAACATATCTGCCACAGGAGAAACAACAGGAAGTGCAACCAGGGTCAGGTTGTGGGTAAGTCAAGATACTCTTGGTACACACTTTAAAACCCACCACATATAAAGCAGGGGCTGACTGCACAGAAGTTGCCAGATACTATACCCTGTCTACATAGCTGCACTATTTTGCAAAATCCTCAATTATTTGTTTCAGATTTTAGAAAAAGATTGACTTAGTGCTACAATAGAGAAGCAATGAAATAAACAGCTTTAAAGGAGAAACCAGCACAGGGTTAAAGCCAAATTTTTCTTGAACAGATGATATTTCAGATGGCCACACTATTCCAGATGCATCAATTTCCTTGAAAATCCAATCCATATATGTGCATATGCTGTGCTGGCAGGAGGACTGACTGAAATGGCCAAAACCCAAGAGCTAATATTCTTTTGGCCAGAATAATGCAATTATTATTTTCCTAGCTATCAGTCTAAGCATACAGAGCCATCTGTTATGCAAAGCAAACATACACATCTCAATTACAGAAAATGCAGTTGCCTTGACAGAATTTGGATTACACCACTAACCAGGGCTGTAAAATGTGTTTTGAGCTACTATATAATGGATGCTTTTCAGGAGTTCCCTAATTAGCATTTACCTGCTTAAACTAATTATTCATCTTTCTTCTTTACTGGCTTATTAAACTTTGTTGGATCCTCTGCATAAAACAGATGAGTATGTGCACCGCAGAACAACAAACAGTGGCGTTTCCAGTTCTATACAGTATTAATGACATAGTGGCACACCAATTTCAAAATTGGAGATTCTCAATACTAGGTCCCAAACCGATTAAGACAAGGCTTAAAGTCTATTAGGGGCTATTACAAAACCAGGGATTTCAATGAGATACAAGAATACTAATACTGAGCTAACAATAGCTCAGTCTTCATCATGTGGTTTGTTAAAGTCCACATAAAATAGAATTACTCTATACACTAGAGCCAAGAGCTTGCGTGTCCTTCAAGGAGGCGTTAACGAACCAAACCCTTGTTTGGATTGTCAACAGTAAATAATCAAATTTGGCAGTGTTTTGCCTCCTCCCCCAACTCTCCTCGAATGCCAGCTATCTCTCTTTATTATTTCCCAATGTCTTTCTTGATTTAGCTATTACCCAGTGAACTCACTAACAGCCAAAAGGTTCCAACAGTGCTGGATGCATCATTAGATCTGTGCCAACTTTCAGAAGCAATGAGTCTGGGATAGGTCCTGCTTAAGAGGAGAAAGACAAATCTTATCGCCATCTTTAGCTCCTCAGGCCAACTGAATGAGAGGTAGATTATCCAACTTGGCAAATCATCACACACATACAAAATCCCTCCCACAGAGGCTGTGTTTTCTCCATGCCAAACCACCAGATGAAAAGGGTCAAACTCAGCCAATCACCTGTATGGGCACAAATATCCAGATGTTTAGCAGTTTTATGAAGAAAACATCTGGAGAGAACGCTGAATTGCAAACTTTTCTTCAGGATATTTTGGCATTCAGTAGATGCAGCCTGTGTCTTGGAATCCAGTGGAATGAAATTTTTTGTGTTCCAGGGAAATATCAAGAACTAACATCAAGGATTTTGTCCCTCACCCTGTCAGTCTCCATCCTCTTTTCTTTTAGTCTCTCATAAACACGTGTGAGTCATTAAGAGGCAAATAACAAAAGGCTATCCTATTTTATGAAATCATCTTTTGGCATTAGGGAGCGTTTGCAAAGGCAGCAAAATATATCCTTGCCGAAACCCTCACCTGCCACACATTTTAATGGTCTCTTTCGGTATTCTTTGACTCCAAATGACTCCTGCCATTGTGTCAGCTCCCAGGATAATGCAGGGTACTCCATAAACATTCAGTAATAGGACACAAGGGAAGCACTATTAGTGTGTCCCTCTCCTACTGGGCACAGAGGTTTCAAAGTTCAAAATAACCGAGGGAAGAAACTTCATTTGTTCTCAATAAATTAGTAATGATCCTTGGCGGGTAGGGAGGAGGACTAAAGTTTTTGAGGACAAGTTTATCACGAATGTTCAACACTGATACAGGTTTCTCACTGACTTTGAGAGAGGACTCAGGTAGAGCCATTAAATAATAAATTTGATAATTTATGCTAAATGGAATGTCCCTTGAAGAAGGAAAGCATAAAGCTGAAAGAGCCTTCACAATCGCCACCAAGAATCTAAATTGTTTTACTTACTTGCGAGAGGCCTAGGTAGATGGAGACTGTTTCGGAAATGTACAAAAATTTTCCTTCTTGATTTAGTGCAAATACAAAGCCATCCAGGGACTGCAGGAAAAATAAACATACAAAAAGGTTAATAAACATATATGATGGAGATTTTAATAAGGCAACTTATACAATGTAGCACATGGAATTTGAGAGCCTTTTTTTCTTCTTCATGTATAACAAAATCCCAAGATCTCTGAGTATTGCACTATACATGCATAAATTAAAGGCTTGATTAAGACTACAAGCTTTCCTTTATTTCAAGAACTTCCTTATGTCCCTGTCATTTTGATCAAGATACATTACATTCATGTATAAAAGCAGGTCATGCTGATTTTATGAGATGTCGCCTTTATTTTTTGGATTCAGTGGTTTCTGAGATTAAATCAGCAAGACTCTCCATTAAGAAGCTGAACAGGAATGGAAATTGTAATGAAATGAAAGAAAAAAAGAGTTCCTATAGGAAGAGCAAGTAAAATCACCACTTGAACTACGATGGACATCAATAATTTGCTAATTAATAAAGGATTATGTCCTCCTCACTCCCAGTGCCTACTGTATTAGAACAAACAGGAAAAGTCAATATATTATGGATGAATGTTTAGGGGATAAAATCTTACGAATGTAATCCTGGTTTGGGAAAACCTTATATTAAAGTTGTATATTGACAGATTTAGTTTCTATCACAACTCCTGAAATGAAAACCAAAGATGAAAAAAAATGATGCTACACATTATCAGTAACTCTTGAAACCTTAGCCCACCTTCCAAATGGAGGGCTGCATTTCCGGTATGATGAATGCAATAAACCATCATGGACTCCAGTTGTAATATCCTACTCCAATTGATAATAAATATGTGGCAAATTCTTGCAACCCAACTGCATTATACCCCTTTCATCCTTTTGTTTTGCTTTAGTTATTTATCTTTAACATAGTAGATTTGTGCAAGTGCTGCTTGCACGAGAATAAAAGTTTCAAAGTCTAGTGGTGTTAACAAAAGCTGCGAATCTGCAAATGCATGAAACCCACACTGGGAATAAGGTATGTGGACACACTAAATTAATGACATAATTTTAAAAATATAGATAGGTAGAAGAAATGCCTAAGATTCAGGTAACAATATGTACCCCTTCAAGTCCCATCAATAATTTCAGTCTACTAAAATATCAAATATATACACACACACACACACAAATTAGACATATTTACATATACATATATATGTTTGTATATGGGCATATGTATATGTGTGTGTGCATATATATATATATTTATACATATTATGAAATTTGACTTTCTATGCTTTCTGAACCCACTCACACTGCTTTACTGACCAGAGACTGTGAGTGGCACCCAACTCCTCTGATTTAGTGGGTTCTACAAACAATTAAGTCGCATCATATTTCTCCACAAAAGAGCAAATTATAGGATAGACAAGCTTTTAGTTAAGATAGCATAATAATAATAGTTTACATTTGTTAAGCGATATGTGCTCGGCAGTTTGCATGTATTGTTTCTTTTAATGTTCACAAGCACCATGTGAAGTAATTGTATTATTATCTTTATTTTATATACAAGGAAATTGAGGCTTAGTAAAGTTAGACAATAAGCCTGTCCCTATTGTGGAGTTTGAATTTGAACTCTGATAGTTAGCTTCCAAAAAGTAACTATGCTGCCTTCCACTAAAAATAAACTCTCCAATTGATATGTCAGAATTAATTAAAAGAAAAATATTCACAGTATTTTGGAAGTTAAAATGTTCATTCTGTAACTTTTTGAACACTATCATTTTTTTTTTTAATAATTTGTTCGAATGATAGAATCCTATCAGTGGTAGGAGACAAAAGAGAAGTGGAATGATAAGAGTTCCTAAGTCACTTCCCCAAGAGGTGAATTATTTCCCCCTGGAACCAGCTATGGGCAACAACTACTGACTAAGAGAACTGGGCTTCTCATCTTTGAAAAAAGTGTCAAACCCTCTGGAGCCTTGTCAGACATAGCCTTTCAAATAGAGTATGGTATAGTGGAATCTCACTTTGAACCAGTACAAAGGGAGAGAAGTTTCCTTCCCACTAGTTTGAGAAGGCTGTAACCTCAATCCATCTCTACTTCAAACAAGATTTCTCCTGAGGATGACTCATGAGGATTAGAGCCCTCCCTCTTCTGACCTTCCCTTAAGAGGTTTTCCATTCAGCCTGATAGCCATGGCCTGGTGCACAAAGAGAAGTGCAAATGCCATCTTCTTAAACCCTAATATGCTACCGACAAATTAAAGGGAAGACACAAAGAGAAATCACAGGAGAACATGGAGATGGTGATAGTTTGAAGGTGGTTGAGAGCAGAAGAAAGGACCATTAGAGCTCGTGATATTATCCTGTAGTCTTAAACTATATTTTCACAGGTGAAAAAGCTGAAGCAGAGAGAGATGGGTGACTAGTAGAAGAGCCAGGATCAAAATTTCTGCTCTTACATTTTTATGCCATTGTATGATCCTGGTTGACTTGTTTAACTCTCACGTAGACTGAGTTTCTCAACAGTGGGGTGATATCTTATTTATCTTTATCTAGCCAGGCTAACTAAAAACTGCTTAGTCAAGACTTAATAAAATCAGTTCTATCTCTAAACCCTGATATAGATCATGGCATGCACACATGCTATCATGACTAAGAGTGATTAAACTACTTTCTCAAAAGGTCCTGTTTTGTAGCTGTTGGATTATTTGCAAATTTAGATGCCATATAATTTTAATGAGGTCTGGGATATTTTCTGATACTTGGATTATCAGAGTTAGAGTGGATTCTTTTATAGTCCTCCAAAGCTTTGGGTGTTATCCCCGCATAGACAAGTCTTTTACCACCTACACATATCTTGTACTTCCTCATGAAAGGGGACTGTGATTTTTAACATTAAGTTTGGATCTCATGTTCTCACTAAAATATTAGAGGAGGTTTGGGCACCATAGCAGGGAAAAGTGTTATCTGGAGGCTAAACATCTGATGCTATCAAGCAGTGGCGATCTAAGAACTGGCCGGTTTTGTTTGGCAAAACAGAGGCTTCAACACATGTTCCAATTTCCTAGTGAGATTAAAATGAGTCTATGTCTACATGACACAAAGACATCCAGTCAATTTAATTAAAAATAATAGCCAATTTGGTAGGGAGAAAACGAGTCAGATTAGTTGTTAGTCATCCCAGAGGTTTAAAAAATGGTTAATAATATTTTTCATTTTTAAATTTTTCATTTTGATCAGTTTTATCTATAGTCTAGGATGACTGTCCATAATTCAGATTGGATTGCCTTTCAAATAAAGAACAGGACATGAATTGGGTCTCAAAGTGATTGGCAAGGTCACTTTTCACATAGCCAGGGCCTTCTGGTTCAGGTTTACCTTTGCCTATGGTTAGTTGTATTTTGTCACCTGGAGAAGTTTGCAAAGTAACATCAATATTGGTTTAATCTGGGTGTCTCAATTTAAAAAGGTGGGAGGAGGAAGGAAACATTCAATCAGTTAATGTGGGGAGCTAAGTGTGATTAATCTGAAAGTTCTGTGGAATTTAAAAAATTTTGAATAGAGAAAGCTATTATATACTGTGCTGTTCAATCACTGCAGGCTACTTTTTAATTTTATTTTTTAACTGCCCACTGTTTTCAACAGGCGCCAATTAAGATTCTGGGGTCAAAGGGTTAATTACATCTTCTTACCCACTATGTAGAATTTTCTGATTATTAACTAAGGTTGGATTAAGATGAAAAAGAACCTACACAAATGTTAATGCTAGTCCTTCCTCACAAAGATTTATTATAAAGCCATGCTGAAATCTATCTGCTTTCCTCAAAGCAGATGAAGAACAAAATCTTAGAAGAAACAGTAAAACAGACATTTTAAAGACATGCAAGTATCTGATTTATCAAGACAGTTTTCTTATTACTGAGAACAGTTCTTAGGCATCCAGACAGGGCTGATAGGAGATTTCCTTTGTCACATCCCAGTAAGTCTATGAGGTACACATGCAAGGAGTGAGGCTTGGATACAAAAGTCAGCAGCTATAGCATCTCTGAATAATAATGCCTGTAATTATAATTTATATCCCCTGACATCAGTGTAACATATAAAGTGTAAGGCACAGTTTCTTAACCCCAAAAGCTGAATGCCTCTAACAGTATTTGTCAAATGATGAGGTTATTTCCTTGCAGGGAATGAAACTCACTCTAGCTTCATGATTGAAGGTATACTAATGTTTAATGCATTGTGCTAAATGGATTTATATTTGTCAAAGGAGTTTTGTCTCTGCTTTCCTTTTTATGCATATTCCACTACAGCCAAATATCATCGCAGGGTGAAATCTTACGATGGTTCTCTTTGAGGGACAATTCTCATGCATATAGCCACTCTGAAATGAGTGATTCTTCTACATTTCAGTACAAAAGGGGGAAAAATTACCCCAAACTCTTTTCCTATGACCTGACTCCAGTTAGAGAGAAGAATTACCAGTAGGCTAGGTTATTTTAATGACAGATTATTTTAAACTAAGCCTTCACCATCTGTTCCACCCCCTAATTATGAATGCAAAAAGAACATATTTCACAATTACATCAGTAAAAAAGGAAGATATACATGATTTAAATGCATGCATGTGCTCTTGTCCAATGTGCCATGCATCTGTGATGTTCTCTTAATGCAGGCTCAGACTGCAGAGTAAATACCCATCCATGATGGAGTGTAGTGTCTGACATTCTCAACTTCCCCTCCGAACCCAGAGTTCTTCACTGCATGAGATAATTCTGTTAGGACAGGAGCACAGCATGAACTTGAGTACTCTGCTTATCAGACATTAGATACGAATATTTAAGAAGTGCTAAAACGGCTCTGGGGTTAATAAGGAGAGGTTCCATGAACAGGCTGACTCTATCACCAGAGCAATGGGTGAGCATCCAGAATAAGTGGGTCTGCTTGCAAACCACAGAAGCAGCATGGCCTGGACAGTACAGATGGGTCTCCAATACCTATCTTTCTACTCAGTTTTGGCAACAGTTAAAAGGAATTAGAAAAAAAACAAA